ATATCATAATTATAATTGTAAATATATAATATAAATATATATGATTATAACAATTATAATTAAATATTAGATTATAAAAAAGTTATATACTCTTTCTAATTGCATTTCAGACAGATGTTCCATGAAAAAGAAGAGTTTTAATTTTAATTTCAGAAGAAATTTTCTCTAAAATAAGGAAATGACTCAAAGTAGGATAGTAGAATAGTTCAAACTATCTTTCAGAGAAATATTTACTTTATGGTATCACTTGCCCAATCGTCGAAACGTTACATTTCTCCGTCACGAGTGAAACTTATCAATCACAAACTTCTAGGAAACATCTGTACATATGCCAACGTCGTCCAGGTTTTGCCTCAAGTTGTGCGGATGATGTAAAGTAAAGTTCCTTTAATCTTCTTTATTTCTTTGTTCAAACGATCGTTGACAAGACAAGGGAATCCAAAGTATATAAATACATACACGCAGATGTGGTGTTACATTAGTTCTTCCAAAATGGCTGGCCAACATTGAACGTGGGGCGTGTCGATTGTCGCTCGAAACGTGGATACTTGCAGTGGATTAAAAATTTTCAAACGGCGATGCAGGCCGCTTATTCGGGGGGATAAACATGACCACGGGCATTGTACTCGAGAAGGCGAGAGCGTGTCGAGCGGAGTGGCTCGGTTGAGCACGCGGATGCCTGCTGATGTGCACGTGATTCCAACGTGCCACGGTTCCACGGCATCGACCGAGTTCCCCCTCCATGTGTCTTCCACTGATGCAGTCTCGCACTATGCTATTTACGTACATCGGTTTCGTGATAAAAGCCTCGTTTTTACATTTATGTCGTCGAAAGGGCCCCGTTGCATAATTGGACTAATATTATTAATAAAATTCAACTGTATAATCGAAATTGTTGAAGATAACATCTTTTCTCATATCAGGTAGCTCGAGGAAAATATTTTGATTGTTTCGTTGGTAAAATGTACGAGTGATCTCTGTCTTTTTGCTAGAGGATGGTACGATTTGTTTTTCTTCTTGTTGCGATTGATTTATGCGCGACGAGGGTACAAGAATATAGTGTGCAAGTTTAGAAAGCAGCTGCGTGTCGTTTTCAATATTTTGTCGAATCAGTTTATAATGTTGCAGGGCATGAACAGCGATGAGAAATTGTTGGATGCATGAACGATTAAACTGCTTCCTAAAAATCTCTTTGAAAAGAACTTTGGCCTCGGACAAAAGAATCTGCGCCGCTTTGATCTTTTTTCGAGATTATCATTCACTCGTTGTTTTCTTCATCAGCTCGTAGACCATGTCGGATGATAAAGTTTGTAATAAAAACAATTGCATAACAGGGTGACCTGTACTCGAGATTATTCTCGATAGGAAGAAATTGTCTAGTTGATAGATAAATTGTCTAGTTGATACAAATGGGAAATCTTCAGATTGCGTTTGAAAACAAAAAGATTTTTCTTCAATTAACAAAACTGCTAAATTACTGACATCGTAAACATGTTTCCAAGGGCAGATAAAGAAGAACAAGTACATAATAGACAAAAGTAGTTTTAAGATATCGGTTATTTTTAACGCTTTGTCGATAATCACGGATTATAAGTTTAAACATCATTATCATTACGAAGTGATAAATCGTAATTGTAAAGTTCCTTTGTTTTCAAACAGCAAGAGCCTCTTTGTCCTTTGGGAGTGTTGAGGACGAGATTCAGCTGCGCTCGTTGGTTTGTCCACAGTGCGACTGAATGCAATTTTCTGTTTTCTTGCTTTACATTTTAATTTTCGAAAAAATTGTTATTACTAATGGATAAATTTTCTTTCGGACAAATGTTTTCTACGTTAATGGTCAAACAATGGTATAATACGTAGTAGTATTAAATTAAAGTACTCGAAATGTCTGTAACTGTTGTGCTTTGAGACTTTTTTTTTTTCTCCAGAAATAACGTCGGTTATCTTTAACTTTAACCGATGGTGAAAAATGGACGAGCGGTAATTTAAATTTAAACGACTATCATCGAGGTGCTATTAGATCGTAATTTCTGCGTGCAACGTGTTTTATTTCTGGCACGTTCCTTTCGAAAAGAGAGCATAATGTGACGCGATAATTTTTATCATCGATTGAGTCTATTTCGAGTGTCGATAAGGTATCTGTATGACAGGAGATTGCCATCGCAGAAATTTCTTCTTAATCGCGAGAAGCTTTGATTCCAAGTGATCAATTTGTCATTAATATTTAATTAATCAAATAAATATCAGAATAATTCGTTCACTTCGATCACGATTTGTAACGAGTGCAAAAATATCGAACGAGAGAGTTAACCTTAAAATTGACAGATGCCCTTAAATCTTGTTGAAATATAATACGAGAGTAATACACTTAAATCTTGCTGAAAGTCAGTTCAGATGATTGATGAAATTTGTCATCGCGATTTTGATTATTTACCAGGTAAAAATACGTGTTTTTTTTGGCCGATAGATATTTTCTGTTATCAGTTGCTCGGATTGTTGAACTACTTTATAAGATCATTAGACAAACAGTCTAATAACTTGTAAAATGCATATTGTATAACGAAGAAACTTCAAACAGCTACTGTTTATAGAAGATAAAGTAAAAAGATTAATCGAAAAGATAATAATCAATCTCAAGCCTGGGAGTGAAAAAGCCTTGACAAAGTGAAGCTTCCTCGGAAACAAAATAATAAGCGATAAAGCATAAATGATTCACGTGTCAGAGTAGTGTGTTTTTGTTTTCTTCGCGTGTGAGAACACTTTCTTGCGCGATGCACCTTGAAACCAAGGATAATAATATTCGTGATATTCAAATGCTTTTGACCTAGTTTCCTATGTGCAAAGCAATTCAACGTAGTATAGTATTTCTCTTCTTTTTAGAAATTCATTTTTGAAATGTCAACCGGACAGTTGTTCAGAATTGGTAAAATTACTAAAATTGCTACGAGAGAGAAAAGACAAAAGAAAAAGTATTCAACTCTCAAGCAACATGTTTACA